TGCTGCCCATGCTGCATGCATTGGTGTAGAGGCACTTCAGCTGGGCTGTTGGCCGTGTCACCTTCTTAGAGGAACACCCCTTAGTTCCTTTGAGGTATTTCACTGGTGTTTCCCTCTTGGCTCCTATTACCTCAGGAGCCCCTGGCTCATCTACGCAAGACTCCAGCAGACGTGCTCCAGTGTACCCAGCATGTCTCAGAGCAACAAGCTGAAAGCTGAGGGCCCTCACTAGCACCCTGTCCCTCTAACCTTGGCGTGTCATCCCACAGCTTGTCATGGGCAAGCCTGATGATATCCCCCTCCCCCTTCAAGTCTAGTTCAAAGCTCTGTCAATGAGCCCTGCTAGCTCATGAGCAAAGACCCTCTTCCCCCTTTGAGAAAGGTGAATCCCATCTGACATCAGCAAGCCTGGTGCCATGTAGGCCATCCCATTATTGAAAAACCCAACATTGCGGCAGTGACACCAGCCATGGAGCCATGTATTAATAGACTGGGTCCATCTGTTTCTTCCAATGTCGCTGCCCACAACTGGAAGGGTAGGGTAGAGGAAAAAATAACCTGTGCTCCAGATTCCCTTACCAACCATCCCAAGGCCCTGCAGTCTCTTTTGACTGCCCTTGGACTACACGTTGCGGCTTCATCGCCACCCACATGAAAGAGCAGTAATAGGTAATAGTCCGAGGGTCGTAGCAGGCTAGGAGGTTTCCTAGCGATGTCCTTAACCCAGGCCCCAGGGAGGCAGCAGACTTCCCTAAGAGGAGGCTCTGTCTGGCATATTGGACCCTCTGTTCCTCTCAGAAGGGAGTCACCTACAACTATAACCCGTCTCTTCTTCCTCATGGAGTTGGTCGTGATACAGGGGGTAGGCCTTTCTGACCTTGGCAATACCTCTGGTGTAGGTGGACCATCATCCACATCATCCATTGACTGGCCTTCTACATCCAGACCCTCATACCTGTTGTACAGAGGCACCTGGGAAGAAGGCGAGGTGGGCAAGGAGGGGGTTTGCCTGCCGCCCCGAGCGTGGACTTGCTTCCGTTCACTCCTTTCCTTTAAGCTACTGCCTTCAGCCTGGCAGGGGGAGGATACAGGATCCCTTTGATCTTGGTTTTTTTCTGGTGGCTGTTCCTGTTTCTGTCTCAGGGAGGGCAGAGCTTGGTTCCACCGGCCTGTCTCTTTCTCAGACTCCCTGATGCTCCTTATCCTTTCTACTTCCTCCTGTATCTCTGCCACCAGGCTGAGCAGATCACCCACCTGATCACACCTCACTCAGCTGTTCTTACTACTGCCATCCGTTCCCAGTGAGAGACTCTGGCATGCCCTGCAGCCTGAGACCTGGATGGTTGCATGTTTTCGTGTGAGCTCTGTCTGGGTTGCCATATGCATTCCTGCTAGTGCAGAGGACATGGCTTTCTGCTGGGTGGATACTGTAGCTAAGCTCTTTCTGAGAGGGTGATGACCACCAACTGAACTCACCTCTTGAGCAGGTAGGGTGACGATGCCCTTCCAAACTCCTGTGCCATGCTCTGTTTACCCACTCTGTCCGCTGGCACTCCCCAGGCTGCTTTTTATAGGTGCGAGGGTGGCTGTGGCCCTGTGCACCAAGATCTGCCGCCCTGCTGCAGACTGGGCAGGCTCTGGAGCAGCTCCCCTCAGTGACTGACGTTTTCTTGCGTGTTTTCTGATCTCCAGGTTTGTTTGGCCTTAAAGCCAGGCTTGAGGGTAGTTCCTGGGTTGACCCTCAGGGCTGCTTCCTGACAGTAGCAGCTATTCTGTAATTGTTGCACACCGGTCCTTCCGCACATGGTAAACCCTGCCCCAGGCAGAGGAGGTTTGAAGAGACTAAGCCCCAGCCCTACTTCTGTCTTTGTCCCAAGAAAATTGGGAAGAAGCTGCATTTGAGAGTCAGCAGGGCTCTGGCCGAGCGTAGGGAGCCCCAGCAGAAAGTGTTGGGCACCTTCTGGGGCTCTTTTGGGGAGTGGGGCACAGGGCTGAATCCTTTTTGGTGGGAGGCCTCCCCTCGCGGGGCTGGGCGGGTGGGTGGCTTTGGGCCTTTTTTAATGACAGTTACTGTGTTTTTAAAGAAAACCCACCACCCCGAGCTG